CATGCAAAAAAAAAAAAAAAAAAAAAAAGAAGTATATATCATATATGTATAAAGTCGGTAACTAAAACATGATGTAATATTTTTTGTGGGGAAGTTAAATCTGCAAATCCCAACACAAAATTTGTCGGATGCAAAAAAGCTGAATGCTAGTCAACCCTTGGCATGAGTGAGTGGCTGTGTCAAAATATGTACACAAAACCTACGCCTAGTCTAAAAGATTGTAATTTATTCTAGCTTTCATTTGGAAGATGTGAATGCTATATGAGGAGCGGGCTAATTCATGATATTTTTTCCATCCTTCCTTTCATACTATCTTGGTTTCCTTCCCATATCTTTCTAGTTCATCATGCATTTTGAACTTTTAATCCGACTAATAGATCAATACTTATATGCTGTTGCTCTGATTGCTCAGAAGATAAAGCATTAATAACTAATCCATTTTAGCCATGCTTTACTATTTTTCCTTTTTAACTACTCAGGATATATGATTTTTTTCAATTATAGTAACTCGCTCAATTATTTTATGCTTTTTTAGCATGGAGGAACAAGTTATTAGTCGTGCTCATCGGATGGGTGCTGTTCGTCCTATTCATGTTGAAACCTTGGTAATGCGTGAAACAATTGAGCAGCAAATGGTACAGTTTCGGCAGGTATATGTTTTTGAAATACTAGCAGTAGTAGTGATCCTCCTTTGGATATAGATTTGAATGGAATAAAATGTTTATATTCCAAAAAAATTAATTGTAAGATACATAGTTACTTATACAGGAGAAAGATGGAATAAGTAAAAGGAAAGGATCACGACAAGAATAAAATAAAATCATTCAATGATTTTACAACTCATTAACATATTTACAACCAACAATTACTTTGGGATCATCTAATGTGAGACTTTGAGATAGCCCTTAAGAAGCACAGGAACAGACATGCTGACACGACACAGACACGAACTCATGCATGACAACACATTGATTTTCAAAAAAGTAGGATACGACACATAAGACACATTATTTATTGTTATTACTGTTATTTATATATATGTGTATATCTTGACATGTGATGAATATTTAATACATTTAACGGAAAATTCTACTTTTAAACATCTAGGGACATCCGTACAATTCACTAAAAAGATAACAATTAAAAAACAACATCAACAATATCCAATAAGTCTTATACAAACAACATCAACAATATCCATACAACGTAGAATCAAACACAAACCTTGTACAAACTATGTATTCCCCCCTTCTTTGTCCTCTACACTGGTGGTCGTTAGTGGTTGATGACAACTGGCAATGGTCGTCAGTTGTCGTTGTTGATGAGTGGCTAAGAAGCTTTTTATTTTATTTTTATTTTGTGTGTGTGTGTGTCGTGGATGCATCTTGAATTGAAGGTTTGGAAGATGATGGAAAGAAACCGTAATATTTTAAGGCTTATATGTGTAGTGGGCTTGGCTTTAATTGGGTACTGGGCGTTCTTTTACACGGCCATAAAAAATTTAAATCTTGGGAGTTTCTACGTGATGTATTTTAGTTGTCTTTGCATGTCCCAACTGTGTCTAAGCATGTCCCCATGGTGTCGGAAAATTAAAAAAATAATTAAAACATGAACATGCAAAACGTGTCAAACATGTGTCGACAACGTGTCAGAGTGTATCGGTGCCCGACACTTACATTTGGCCATTTTACAAATGTCGGTGTTTTATAGGATAGCCCCCCAAAAGGCTATTGATATTGTAATTTCTCTTTGGTATTGCAATATAGTTCTGTTTTGTGTTTTCTTGTTAGGGGAACCCTAACAGCTGATCGGGGATTTTTCTATTGAATATGTTCAAGGTATTTACCTTGCCAGTGGGGTTCAATAAAAAAAATCTTACATTTTTAAGAGTTAACTTCCTTATCTGCCTCGGTATGAAAAAAAAAAAAAAAATCCTGACTCCAGTATATATTACATATCAAGTCCATTATCTAACTCTTTTTTGCGCATTCTATAGTTGTTTTTTTCTCCTTAAATGATTGATTATTATGAAACATTCCACGTCTTGCAAGTTTTTGCGTTTCCTTTTAATGCTTTAAGCCTCACAATTTACTCTTTTCTCTTCTTGATTTGTTGGTCCCCTTTCAAATGAAGGATACTGATGAGTTCCAAAGGTTAATGAAGGAAGACTTTGACAAGCTTGATTATGAAGGGCCACGAGCTCATCGTTCATTGCATGATTTTGCTGGGAGCAATTATCTTTCTCAGCTCAAGTTTGTGAGGACAAATCCTAAGATAAAAAAGGATGTAGAGAACATTTAGTTTTAGTGCAGTTCTCTGACATATCCTATTGTTGTTAGTGTACAGATGATATTAAGATTAGTTTTTCAACTTGAAGGGAAAACCGAAGCAAATGGTCTGCAGTGGCTCAAGTGCTATTCATAAAGTCAAGAAATAGAAGTAGGTGCACGTTCATTTTGTTGTCCGTTCAAGTTATTGCTGAAGACCGAAGAATTCAATCAGCATAGTGTTACTGGTGATTACTTACGTTCAGAAACACTTTGATATGCAAAATGTGTATAATTCAGTGCAGTAGCTTCTGATGGACAGAGATAACAACAGAGCTGCAGGTTATAGCAATTCCCTCGCTTGATGCCCTTCCTGGAGCTAGAAGCAGAGGGCGGGCCAGGTTCGAATTAAGATTAGACTTTTATTTGTTTGAGCTGCTCCCACACATTTTTTTGAGGGAAACAATCCCAATTGTACACTTGTTACCATTTGTTCTGCTCTTCTAAGTTGGCTAAGCCATTGAAGTATATTGATTGAGGTTGTAATACTGCTGGTGTGCGAATGAAAGATGTCATGTATTTTGTAGAATATCTCTACACAATTTACCATTTTAAAAAACCTTCATTTCAAATGGATAGGCACAAGTTTTGTTTTGATTTAATTAGGGGTAAAAAAATTATGATAGGCCCTACTTTTAACTTTATTATATTGATCAATAAGCTGTGTTCCTGACAAAATCTGACATATCTTCTTTCTTCTCAGTTACTTTATTCAGTGTGCAAGAGATTGAAATTAGGGCAAGCATCCAAGAAAGGTGGATTGAGGGGTTTCCAGCTAAATCACAAGAAAGCTAATATCTCTATACCTTGTTATATTCTTGAGAACCATGAATTATCTTTAGGTACAGGAAAGGATAGAAATGGATAACCTCAGGGCTAGTGCTTTTCTACTCCCTTTCTTTTAACAAAGGATTGAAGAGAAGTTAGATTTGTAACTATTTTTTCTTGACCTTTTTGTCATAATCACTGCACCATAGTTACAATAGGTACACTCACTGCTTTCCATGCTTCTCAAGAAGCCGCACAGCTTGTAGTCAAATATGCGTATGAAGAAGAAACGAAATTCACACTTTGATCATTTATGATGATGAGTACATATGATGATGAGTACAGACGTGTGCACTATGATGATGATCATCATCAGCATTCTTATGCCTTGCATGATATTCGAGGGTTTATTGACCTTCAGGCGTTTGGCTACACAATTAGCCCGACTATGATGGGCACAAGGGGGGTACAAACCGTCTGGTGGACTCAAGCTCGCACGTGTGGGTCATGTGTAGGGAAGTACTACACTTCTATTTTTGTCCGAACGGGAGGTCACTTCTATGATGATTTTAACGATAGGTTCAAAATCATGAGTTGCATGTGTTTGCATTCACTAACCCTAATAGTGAGGTTACTGAGTATTTCTTTAAATCTTCAAGTCATGTATTACATCTATATTTCAGGTAAAGGCAAGGCACCCTTATACCGATGACAATGACATCACAATTAAAAACCATGACACATGCATAGGGTAGTTGTATTTAATTTCGTAGACTTTACGTATAGGGCTTTATTGTTTTATTTTTGTTTATTTTAACATATCTTTTGTATTGTTTTAAAGATGATTATTTAAACATGCAAGTCATTGACATTGTTTTATGAAGATACTCATGTAAGTCCATGACATTGTTTTATGAATACTTTTAAATGATTATTTCCGCTTAAGAGGTTATGTTAGGAAGATGGCAGCGCCTTTAGGTTAGTTAAAATTTAGGGTTATTACATTTAATACTAAAATAATAATAATTAAATTAATCCATCTAAAACAAAATTTAAGACATCATAGATTAAACTTAAAAGTTGAATGCATCTACGAATGCGATCGACAAAAGAATGTTGGTCATGAGTGAAGAACAAGGAAGTAGAAGTATGTGTAAACATAAAAATTCATTTTTGTTTCTCTTTCCTCTTGCAAACTGAAGTGGAACGCACCGTTCTTATAGAGAGAGAGGCGCTTTCACATCTTCTTAACCCGAAATGGCAAATGGCTGGGGAGAGGAAAGGTTCCTTTTTTTAGGGTACCCCCGGGAACAGATCCAGTGGAGACGGGGTGGGGCCTGTAGCTCAGAGGATTAGAGCACGTGGCTACGAACCACGGTGTCGGGGGTTCGAATCCCTCCTCGCCCACAACCGGCCAAAAAGGGAAGGACTTTTCCCTCTGGGGGTAGGAAAATCATGATCGGGATAGCGGACCCAAAGCTATGGAACTTGGGTGTGGGTCTTTTGTCGAAATGGAATGGCCTTATCTTTTTATTTTTTCTTTTTCGTTAATGGGTTAAGGGCGGAAGTGAACTTTAATATTGTAATAAATCACTTGTCCTTCGTTCGTTTCCATTAAAAGTTCATCCGAATTCACAAACAACCATGGTTTCTTAACTCCAAGAAGAGGGCCCATTATTATTAGTTTTAACCATGAAATGACATCTTTCTCCATCTCCCAAATGTCGAAGGATTTTTCATTACCGGTTACTCGATGGTGAAATATAACAATTGATCCATTCAAAATCCTCATACTTATATACTCCTCACACTCCTCCGCTACATTGTTTGGTACTGAAATTTTGCAAAAAACTTCTTCGCTCATGTCAAATGTGTGTATAATATTAGTTCCTCCTTTGTATGCCCACCAATAATATGTTCCTTCATGATGCATCTAAGAGGCAATAGGTGACTCTGATGCACGTCCATAAGTAGGAGATTCAATTTTCCTCCATCTTTCTTTCCTCAAATCGTAAAATTCCACTCTAGTTGAGAAATCAGTTTCTCCATATCTGTTCCAAAATTCTACAACTCTAATCACTTTAAAATCCCTAGAATTTGATTCGTATCCGAATCCAACCGCACTTGTGAACGAAAAATCAATGTCATAGGTATCTCCAGGATAGTGAAGAATCGATAATGGGAGCTTACGAAACTTTTCAGTCCAGATTAAAGAAAAAAATATCCCTATCGAAGGAAAGACAAAGCAAGCCACGAGAATGACCACAAATACTGAAAGACTCATTATTTTTGAATGGATTGTTGACATCGAGAATGGACATAGATCGACTGGGGGCGAGCGAAAGCTTGATTATGGAGGGTATATACATAAAGTTTTCAAAATCGACCATCACTCGACGCTTGATAAAAATACGTTCATGTTGAAGAGAAAAAATTGTAGGATCTTTAATCAGAGCGTACCAAAATTTGCAAACTAACTTAAATTGGAGTAGAGACTCTGTTGGAAGCCTTCAACACCGTGGGAAGATCTGGAAAAGATTTTAACTTAGGTTTGAAGTTTTATTTGATCATCTCTTCATTGTCATTTTTATTTTTTTAGTCTTTTTGTACAAATAAAATAACAATTAAATAAAAAAGAACAAACTTACCAAAATTAGATAATTTTGGTTTGTTCTTTTTTCCATCTCATGCACACAACAAGAAGAACAACAAAAACAGCTACAACGACAACGACAGAACGACGACAACAAAAAAATGTAGGCATAATGTGCCTGTAGTTCATGATTATTTTGTTTTTTCAAAAAGTAATTTATCAACAACAGAGAAATGTAGACAAACAAGATCTTTTTAGGTCAAAATTTTCAAAAACAATCTTAAAATTAAGACTCTAATTACTATTATTCTAAAGTCGTTATACATGCCCTACCAGGTGATCCGCACACCCCCTAGGCCTCGTACTGGTCGGACTAACATCTCTAATGCTATTGTCGGACACTTGGAAGGAATAGCGACCATCGTAGCATCATGTTAAACATGACGATCATTGTCCTCTTCATAATGTATGCATTCGTACTCATCATAAGGGAAAATATCCCAATGCATGTAACGTACATTTATGCATGAAGTCCCAACTTTTTTTCCAGTAATTAAATCATCTAAGACAACCCCTCCTTTTTTTCTCCATTTCATTTCATTTCATTTATAGCATAATCTTCAAAACATGTCTCGAGATTGTACGCCATAAATCTTTATCTCAAAATATTTCATCGCATGTCGTACATATCAACAACGTATCATATCATGCAATGCAACGTATCATATCGTTCAACATATCACATCCTTCGACATATTGTACCATTTAACGTATCATATCTTTCAACACATCATATCCTCAACCTATCGTACCATTCAACATATTATATCATTCAACATATCATACTATAAAATATATCATACCATACAACATATCATACCATACAACATATCATACCATAAAACAAAGTACACATAGCAAACATATGACACATGTAAAGTCACTTGACATGTGTCATCATGTATCACACAACTTCTCCAACCATACCAATAGTAAGGCCACTTACTTGGCAAGTCTAGGTCGATACTACTACGACTCCTTGATGCTAGTTTAATGTTGCTCCCTAAAAATTTATTTTGTTTAAAGAGTCTAACAATCATAAATTAGAATTCTACGAATAGAATTGACTCACCTAATTTTGCATAAAATAATCCTAATATCCATTCTGCTGATGTGATACTAGTTTTTAGAGGTGGAATTTGTTACGTTTATGTTGAGAATTATACAAAGAGGAAATTATAAAACTTTGGGATATGAACCAAGAGGAAAAGTACGTAACTACCCCTTAAGATGCGTTTTAAAACGTGAGATTGACGATGATAAGTAACGAGCCAAAACAGATAATATTTACTAACGGTGGGCTTGGACTATTACAACAAACATATTAACAAAAGTCTAACAAATTAATCCAACTAAAACAAAATTTTAAACACCATAGATTAAACTTAAACATCGAAGAAACCGTCACTAACTACACATAGCAATTTATCACATATCGTGACGGTAGAGGGTGACCCGACCCATGACCCAATCTGTGATCCAAGACCAGCGCCTTCCCAAACTGCAACCGCTTTCAACTGTGACCGATCACCTGGTTCCTTCTTGAGCCAACAAGATTTTGCCAGTGTCAGAGAGAGTGTGAGTAGTCCTTCCCACAGTCGATTCTATAATCATTTGTGGGGAGCCTTCTTGCATATGCATAGGTGTGTGACAACATGCGAAGTGCTCCTTTTTGCCCCGCTTGACCTCCGTTCATGTAACATATCGTTAGGATAAAAAAATTATGTGGACAGTCGTCGCTAGAGCCCGAGAATTCCGACGAGGCGCTGGAGTTCTCAGACAACACCAAGAGATTCTTATCTATTAGACGAACACAACTCTCCACAATAGTATGATATTGTCCGCTTTGGTTTGAGCTTCCTCAAAAAGCCTCGTACCAATGGAGAGAGTATTCTTTGTTTATAAACCCATGATTCCTTAAATTAGCGGACGTGGGACTTTCATCATCCAACATCATCCACGCCGACATGCCAGATCTTCCCCATGACCCTCCAAACCTTGAGGACCTTAGAGAAACACCAAACTGAATGCCTGCAACATAGGGGAGGGAGGGAGGGAGAGAGAGAGAGAGAGAGAGATCTAAAATTACAACTTCGGCCTAATACACACCCACATAGAGCAAGTATACGTTCGCGAATCGCCGTCGCCATTATCGAAGAAGGAATCATCCCGACGTCCATC